CCTCCCCTCCCCTCCGTAGGAAACGCGGGGATCTGCCTCCTGCCCCCGGCCGTGGGGCCCTGCCGCGCCCGGATCCCCAGCTTCTACTACAGCAGGTACACGCAGAGCTGCCGCCAGTTCATGTACGGGGGCTGCGAGGGCAACGCCAACAACTTCGAGAGCCGCGAGGCCTGCGAGGACGCGTGCTGGGCCATCGAGAGTAAGTTCTGGCGCCCGGGGCGCTCCCGGCCCGCCGTGGCGGCGGAGGCTCAGCCTGGATGTGCTCAAAGACCCAGCAGGGCTCCCTGGTCGCAAGTCCGCACAAAAGTTTGCAACGCGTTTTCTGTCCCCTGCCTGGCATGCATCACAGCTCCACGCCTGAGCAGACTCAGGGGAAGATGTCACCTTAGGGCAAAATAATTCAAGGGTATAATGCACTGGGAGCAAGAAGAGTGCTTTCTGCATGTATCATTAGTTCTAAAGCTAGGGCTCTTACACCTCCGTTTCCTATGTCAGTTACCCATAGATCTGAAATCCTCTTAGTGGATTTTATTATTGAACTGTGATTTATCCAACCATAACCTTACTTTTGTCCCCTCATCACCAAACATGCCTTTGTGAGTAGGAGGGAGACGGAGGAGGTTCGCAATACTGTTTTCTACTTTATTTTAATTATGTTTATTATACCTGTTAAGGCCTGTGGCAACGGAGCAGGGGCTTTGCCATTCAAGGAGCTGAGCCAGGGGAGATGCCTATATTCCTGTGAATAAGCTATTTCACTTCATGTGCAGGAACAATCAGAACACCCCCCGGGGGAACAGTCTTTCTGCTGAATTTGAAAGATAAAGGCTCAGTCAGGTCTGGAGACACTGTTCAAAACATCACAAAGCTAAATAACTGGATTAATGGACAGTCTTTGGGGGATTTACTCTCCCGGCACTAAATATGATGTCGTTCCCCTCACCCGGTTGTTTCTGAATGTACAGTAAAGTTTTGGAAGTGATACTAAGAAGCCTCATTTTTTTAATTGCCTTTTTTCCTTTTTGTAGAAGTTCCCAAAGTGTGCCGTTTGGAAGTCAGTGAGGGGCAGTGTGGGACGCTCCGAGGAGACTACTTCTTCAATCTAAGTTCCATGACCTGTGAAAAAGTCATGTCTGGCGGGTGTCCCCGCAGTGGGAACCAGTTTCCGGATGAAGCGACTTGTAGGGACTACTGTGTACCAAGGAAACGTAAATATTTTTATGGTGTTTCTATGCCATTTCTTTATTAAGATTTTTAGGGTGAAAAAATCAATTCGATGTGAAATTCATATTGTTCGCACTGTTGTGATTTCATATATAATATGCTATCAATCTTCACACTGTTGCCCTGAGGGAGCATTATTATTGCCTTCTTACCTATAAGAGTACAGGCTAGGAGAAGGTAAGGACTTGCCAAGTTCTCAGTCCTGGAAAGGCACAAAGCCATGACTCAAGTTTTTGCTTCCTCCTCTGCATTGTTTCTTGAGAACTATTTGTAATCTATTCGATTGCACATACAATTACAGTATATATTCATTAATGAATGCCATGACCTCAGGTTGCTTGGACTGAGCTGTATACACGAAATAATAGAATGTATATAGACTTAAGATGGTGAAGCTTGAAAATTTCTTTCTAAAGTTTTTGGTTAGATTTCTGTATCCTTTAGTAATTGCAAATTGCAGGGCATAAAGCTATCTCTCTCTCTCCTCTGTATTAAAAACTTTGAATTTATTTATTGATTTGAGAGAGAGAGACAGAGACATCGATTTGTTGTTCCACTTATTTATGCATTCATTGGTTGCTTCTTGTATGTGCCCCAACCAGGGATTGAACCCGCAACCTTGGCTTATCAGGATGATGCTCTAACCAGCTGAGCTACCTAGTCAGGGCTTCTCTCCTTCCCATTCCCCCCCCAGTTTCTAAAATGATGGGCAGTATTCAGTATTTGTAGAGAGGGACAATACAGGCATTTTCCCCAGGCTCAGTAGAGAGAGATACATACAGGTAGATAAATAAATTCAACAAAGGGAAATTTACCTTGGCATGGCCTCTGATAAAGCTCTACAGCTATAATATTGTGTTGAATATGCAAAATCTTGAATTGATGAGGAGATGGTTGTTGCTGGTCTTTTCTTCAATTGTTTGTGTAAATGTAAGTGCTCCAGTGGCTATCTGGGAATTAGACACATACATTCTTGATTAATAATAGAAGGAAAGCTGAAAAACATTGAAAATAAAACTACCAAGACAAGAAAGTTTATAAAACATGTCATATATTATCACTTGAAACACAGCCCATTTTTATCTGACCATATCTGTTGTTTGGGTTTCATTTCCTCACACGTTCCAATGATACATAGCTTCAGAAGAAATTCTATTCAGTTTATCAAAATTTAGAATTAACAAAATATACCATGTAAACTTTCTTGAAATTTGAGGCACACATTTTAAATGGTTTAAAATGATCATTTGGATTCAGCAAGAAGCTTCTATGGGATTATGTTTTCTTCAGTTACTTCAGTAACCATCACAGCTTATTAATTAGGGTATCACTGCACTTCTAATTTTACTGTCTTTTTCCTAAAGGTCCATCATATTGCTACAGCCCAAGAGATGAGGGACTCTGCTCTGCTAATGTGACTCGCTATCATTTTAACCCAAGACACAATGCTTGTGAGGCCTTCACCTACACTGGTTGTGGAGGGAATGACAATAACTTTATTAGCATGAAGGACTGCAAACGCGTTTGCATGAAAGGTAGTGAATTTTTCTTATTCAGCTTTTAAGCCAACTTTATAAATAATTCATAAGCAAAATTATATTTTATGTATCCATTTTACTAATAGCATATTGCCATTTCTAGAATACTTCTACCTAAATGGCGCTTTAGGTAGAAGTTTTGTGAAAATGCTTATTCTGGATAGTTACAGTAGACACTAGCTGTATCCTTGTGTCGTAAAGGTAGAATGCTGTTAACTGAGTGGACAGTAAGTAATACTGACTTTATAATCATTAAAAATAAGATGTCAGTTTGTAAACATATTGGAAATGGTGGTTTATAGTGATCCTACAGGCTGATGTGATGTTTCTTTTTATTTTGTTGACTTTAGCCTTCAGGAAGAAAATAAGTAAGAAGATGCCAAAGTTTTTCTTTCCTGGTAGAAGACTGAAACTTCAGAAGAAAGGATTTTAACTGATTTTTTTTTATGTCATCTTATGAATGCTACTATTGCCTTATATCTGAAGAATAATATGGTAACATGAGGAAATGAATCATTAGTGATTTCTTCACATTTTTATTGACCAAAGTTACTTTTTAAAAAATGTGTCCACTTTTTATACATAACTAGCTGCTACTCAAATGTGAATCTGTTATTTTTAATTTACCATTTAACTGTTTCTTATGAGGTTGAAGCCTTGCTCAGCATAAGAAAGCAAATACGACTCACCCAGTTCTTGGGGTTGCTCTTCTGATTTCAGATGATGTTAATAACTGAAAAACAGACAACATAATCATGCTCTTTTAACACATATGAACATTAAAAGGACCAGTAAATACATTTTATTTTACATTTAAAAGTTGGATTATATTTTAGGCCCAAGGTGACAAACTTGTAGATTTACCCATAGTTTAAAAAATATTACAAGTGCTATTATGTAGACACTGCTAACTTACTTCCAATTCTGTTGTGTCATTTAAAAAATAATAAATTTTTGAATGAATTAAAGAGCTTGTAAATTTATTGAAATCAGAAATGTACTCAAGGGAAAAAATTCTGTCTCTCTTTATCTATCCATCCATCTATCCATTCATCCCTACTTGCATGATATGTTTGTGGTTACATATAGATAGGTTGGTTTTAATAGTCTTCCTGTTATTACATTATTTCCTAAGACATAATGTATTGGAGACCACTGAAGTTAAAATTTTTTAACTGTTCAAAATGTTTATTTACATTACACTAGAGACTATGTATGAATTTAATCATTTAAATTCCACTAATAAGTTATTCTTGGTAAATATAATGCCAGTTAAACAATTTTCTCTTTCTCTATAATAAAAAGATTTTTAAAATTCCTACATTTTCTTGGGAAGACTAATATGTTTGAAAGTATGCCTTTGATGCAGCAAAATTATAAATGCATTTGCCCTTTGCTTGAGTAATCCCTCTTTTAAAAATCTATCCCAAATGCATTGTGGCAAAAATATAAAATGGTATATGCTTGAGGACATTCATTGATGTATTTTTTGAGATAACTGAAAACTGGAGACAAACCAGATGCTCATCAACAGGGGACTGGTTGAAGAAATTATGGATGAGAAACGAACAAAATATCTATATAGAGATATTATATTTGATCCTCAGAATACATTAAGAAAAACAGGTTTTAGAACAATATGTATAAACACACACACAAATCACAGAAGATATAAAGATAATAAATATGGTTGCCTAGGGGGCTGGAGGAAACAGGATTAGACAGGTATGGAGATAAAACTTATGTGAATGTACTTGCTATATAGTTTTGATCTTAGACCATGTAAATATTTTACATAATTAAAAACCAAAATTCAAGAATAAAAAGCATTCCTTCTAAAATTGGAAGCAAACCAAAACAATTGAACTCAAATGAATATCGAATAGTGGCATAATGACACAAAGGATATATAATTCTTTTCAGTGGCTTAAAACCAGCACTTTGATTATATCTATTTTGGGGGATATACTCTTAAGGGTCAAGAAAATTCTGAAGAAACATGAAAATGCACTTCGTGAACTTCTTAGTAATATTGATATTGTTATTTTGAAACTATCATATATAGAATACTATATTATACAATACATTCTGTTAGAAAATGTATTTACATTTCTTTAGAAGTCACGATTTTCAGTGTTAAGAGAAAAAGAGATATAAGTATAAAATTAAGAAATTAAGGAAAAAAATTTCAACTTTTAAATTGGAATTACAAATATTAGTATGAACTCAAAATTTATTTTTGCTTTCCAAAAAAATGTATTTCCACCCTTCCATGGAAAAGTCCTTGAAGCAATGATAACCCAGTAGCAGTAAGTGCACCTACTGTCCAGATTGTGATCTCGAAATATTATTTCTCGCTAAAAGGAACCAGGGCCGGGGGTTCTTAAGAGAAATTGCTCAGTTTAGGTCTGCAACAGAGATTATGTAAGGTGAATCTGGGCAACCTTATTTCAGAAAGTAAGGAAGCTATCAAAGACTAATAAATCATGTCACATACACACACACACACAAAACAGGAGAGTAACATTAAGGGGCTTCCACTGACCTAAAACGGGACAATATGAGCATCAAAACAAATAACCACAACATATATAAGTATTTAAATACGAATATAAAATGAGTTCATAATTACACACACACTTCCTTGGTCATTTTTGGAGGTGTCTAGGGCATTCTCATTACTTTGAAAACCAGTGAATTAACAGAAAAAATAAAACATTTATCCTTTAAAAACTGTACCACAAGGAAACTAAATAGTGAATGAGAGAATGTTATTCTTGTAAGAACCCTACCTAATACAGGCATTAAAATGTTAGAATATACCCTAATGAAAGTATGCGTCGAGGTAACCATCACCTGTGGATGCAGAAACCATGGCATGACAGGCTGAGGGGGGACAGTGCATGGAGGAATCAGAAGAACGTCTCTGAATACAATAAATTTAACATCACTAATAATGTGCCAACAGACATTATTTGCTGTTTAATATGATGTAATAAGTACATACCCCCTCCCCAGGAAGCAATCTTATAGAAAGAAATAAAGAAAAAATTGAACCTGAAGTTGATTAAGCCTCTAGATCTTACTATTATATTGTCAGATTATAAGGCAGTATTGGGGATAAAGGAATAAGGTAGAAGAAACCAGAAAAAGTCAATCAGCCAAGTTCCTAATGTTGGACATTCTAATGGACAAATAGCTCAGTTTCTCCAACAAACCAAGGAAATTTTAAAAAGGGGGAGGAGGCAGTGCTTTTAGAGACAACAAGCAGCATGTCCTTAAGGGGTTCTTGGCTGAATAAGGTCTGTATTTATGACTGTTCTTGGTGGTTTTTGAAAATGAATACAGCAGAAGGATCTTGTGTGTGCTCTGGGGTTGTCGGGGGAGTGATACAGAGCCTCTAGGGGTTTGGGGGGTTCCTAGCAATACAGAGAAGCTTGATCGATACCTGCTGCCTATAATCCCCCTATAGTCGAAGCTCCTTGGGGATCACGGACCCTGCTCAGTTTACAGCTGCAGCTCTCTGTTCAGCATGGGTAGGAAGATCCTTTAGATACAACTGTTCTGATACCCCAAACCTCTGCCATTTAATTTTAATGGAGATTATTTCATAAAGCTCTTGTAGGATATTCTGCTATCAAAGGGAAATGCCTTTTTGCCACAATCAGCTTGGAGACAAGTCACTACTGTGGTGGCACCAGACGGCCTGATTAAAAGGACTGTCTTGTTCACCAAAAGACAAAAAAGGAATGGGGTGGCTTTAAATAACAGTCTTTTATCGTCACATGTTCAACCATGGAAACTGCAATGGAACCTTCAAGATTGCCTGGCTCACATGCCTCCAAGAATATGTGCTATCTCCCCCAGCAGCCTTGTGGACATTTAGCCAACAATGTTCTGTACTGAGGGATGTTTGTCCCTGCGTTGTGACTGTAGAAATCACAGCTGTGGCGCATCCAGAGTCCCCAGGGAGTTCAGCATAAAAATCATCAGAAGGACGTATATTGGTCACCTTTGGGCTTCTTATGACCGTGTGGACTCCATCATAGTAGCAGGAACTTGTCTTTACAAGCTTCATGTTTCTAGTAAAATATAGGTCTTGTAATAAATATAATGAACAGTAGAAAAGTACAGAGTTGTAGCTTTAAAATATTTTTTGTCTATATATTCTGTTATAAACTTAGTGATGGAGGCAAGCAAATGCGGGAATCAGAATCATACAAAATTATTTCTTCTCCCTTCCACTCACCTGTTCAATTAGTTGCCAAGTGTATCAAGTCAAGTCTATTTTCATCTTATCTTATTCTAGGAAAATTAAAATATTCTCCCAAGTTTCCTTCCTGCCTATGTCTGTTCTATATCCAATCATCCACACTGATGCCAGGGAAATATTTCCAAAAAAAAAAAAAGAAAATCTTATTAGGTTATTCCTCTGCTTAAAACTCTTTAGTGGTTTCCTACTGAATCTTCCTGTGACTGCCCAAGCCCCTAGTGTGGCATTTAAGACTTCTTACAAGTAGATCATGACATCTCTCTCCGGATTCATCTGTCTCCTTTCACCATCACCTGCAACTTACAATTCAGTTACACTCAATTATGTTCAGTTTCCAAAGCATGTCATACGGCTTGATGGCTCTATAATGTGTTTATTAAATTTTGTGCATGAGAACCATCCGGGGAGCCAGGTGCACTGCAGCTCCTATGCCCCATACCCAGGGGCCTGATTTAGTGGGTTTGAGTTGGTGCTCAAAGACACACTTTATAAACAACGGCTACAGATGACTAGGATGTACCCTTGCATCACACCTTGAGGACT